TTCCTGAGGGTTATATAAACTGAAAACACACCCCAAGGGCATCGATCAACAATAAATTTATCAATTAAACTTGTCAATCATATAAATTTTTAACTTGATGTATAGATTTTAGAAGGTCTACAACCAGTGCATTTAATATCAAATGTGGTTTTTCCCCTTGAATTTATATTGTTCAATAAAATAAAACTATTAAATAATTTGTTTAATCTATTACCAACATCCTTACCATATAAAAATAATACCTTTTATTTATTGGCATTACTGATATTAAACACTCTTATCAAATGACAATGCTTGATTTAAATTTAAATTTTTCTTGAATTTCCTTTATTCTTAAATATTTCCAATAAAATTTTTATTTCTTTTAGATAATATTTTTAATTATTAAATTGGGTGTCATGAAGAAAAACGTGATATTCATTTGTAAATCAATAAGACAAAAACCGAAACAAAAAATGTTAAGGTTGTAAAAATTAAGAGTGTAAAATAAAATACAGTATTCCATTAGGTCTCTATGCAGAAAATTAATAAGGTACACAAATCAATGACTCACCATTGAGGTGGAGACATTGTCTGTACTAAAATGATCATGAAGAGACAGGTAGATAAACTACCTAGCCTCAAGACAAAACCTCAAACTTGTCAAGTTTCTAAAGTTCTTGGAATTTTTCACAACACCTTCTGATCTTGGGATTTTGTTTACATCGTCAGTAAATCATGGGATTTTTTACAAGATATGGAATGGATTCTAATAAACATTAGGATTGTTCAATTGCTTCTGAGCACATGTTGCGACAAACATTTAATCACCGGCCAGTTGTCTAAAGTCAGTAAAGTAAAGTCGCATGTAGGCCTGGAAAAAATTTTTGTGCCTGATCATGAAATTTGTCTCGATAAAAACGCCTCCATCACCAAATTCTATGTGTACACGACATAGCACAACAGTTTATTTTTTGAATATTTTCCCCCAAAAATTCCTCCAGGCCATTCATGATGCCTCCGACTGCCGATCGTGCACTTTTTCCAGCCCTGGTCATAAGGGTGACAAACTTGGTTTAAAGAATGTGGCGGTTTTGAAGAGAGAGAGAGAGAGAAACATGATCAATGAAAAGCATTATTTATTTCAATTATTTAGTTTTGATGACATAAAAAAATACAAGTCTAAATTGTTGTAGTAAATACTAATTTAATCATTTTAATTATATGTTTAATACTTAATACCAAATCTATATATTTCTGACAGGATGTAATTGAAAGTTTACATTATCTTCAAAATCAATAAAACCACCCGAGATTGAACAATTACTTGTGATGATAGACATAGCAATATGACAGCAGATATCCTGTACTTTGCCCCTTCCTACTGTATACTGAGTAGTGAACCACAGTGTCTGTAAACTTGTGATACAATCTAAATGAGGGGATATCTATCTTGTTATGATATATGCGATTAGGATTGTGTTACGCCGATCTACGCAGGTGAATTTGATTATGGTATTCTCCTTTGGTTTGTAACCAAACGTTAATGTACTTCCTCATCGCTTCTCAATCCGGAAGAACATCAAGTTTATTCAACAATAATATATGGCATAGAGTGTGTTTTTTTTCCCTTTGTTTTCTTGGGGGTGGGTGGGAGTGGCAGTATAGTTCTTTAAGTAGGGCTATCTTGCTCACCAAGTTTTTAATCTTTCTTTATTATTCTTACCTACTGTATACTGTACACATAGTATAATGCTAATCATTCAATTCAAATCTTGGTAGATTCAAATGTAGGCCTACAGAGTTGCTAAGCTTCCCAATTCAAACAGGTGTTTGAGGTCAGTGTACAGTCCCAGTGCAGTATGCTGGCCTACTCTACCTCTTATAACAACAATGGTGTTCATTGTGTACTCTAATAAGTCTAATTGCCTCTTTATTAGAATGACAGTTAAAATTCTATCTCATATTACAATTTACATGGTACAGTATACTACAGCTTTATTTCTAGTTTCAGGTAACTATTTTCTCCATTCGTTTTATTAATTCGTCCATCAACGAACTGATGGTCTAAACATGAGTAAACAGTAATAAGCAATCTCGGAGTCACATGCCCTTCTAGCGAAAAGTTGGTATACTACTTTTGTGGCAATGATTGCAAATGAATAAATAAATAATAACATGGTTGAATTGAAAAATTATTTAGTAAGGCCAAATAAAATTTATTATTAGTTTCACGTCCGGAATTTGAAATTTTTTTTTGATGAGGGGCCTTATTATTTGCTATTTTTTCGATGAAAGAAAATGGTGGTATGTAAAACACGGCATTCAATATTTGAAGTAAAAACAACCACTCTACATTGTATTGTAACACTTTTATTTTCATAAACATTTCAATTATTGTTTTTAAAGGATTTAAACCAAAAATATTTCATAAAATACAGTTATTGATTAAAACAATAATATTAATCAAGGTGTGATAATTAAGAGTGAATCTTAAGGTGTTTTTTTTAAGTATACCAGTACCAGGATGTACAAGAGAAGTACTATGAACTACTGCAATTGACATGGAAGGCATCGACAACATATCTATAAGTGTTACAATGAATATTCTATACAAAAGATACACAATAATTAAAAAATAAAATATGTATATACCTATACCTGATGAAGGGTGATACCCCAAAACATTTGTATGTTCAATAAAAATTATTTTGAGAATGCTAGACACTTTTTTATTTATAATAGTATAATACTTATTAAGATACTTAGTACAAAAGTTGCAGTGAATAAAAACTGATGGAGACAAGGGTGCCGAACTGCAGAAATTGGCATGACATTGATACACCATCATTCTTGATAGGAGGTGGTGGTGCTTCCTTTCCTTCGTCTACCTGGAAAAAAAATTAACAAATTGTTAAGATTTTATGTTCAAATAATATTATACAATATTATTATTTGAATATTATACTGTACAATAATAATTATAACCTTCAACACAGCACTACAATGTAGTTAGTAGTACAGTAGTAGTAGCAGCTCAGTAGGCCAAGTACAGTAGTGTGTTAATGGTATATCACATCAATCATCATCCTCAAACTAGCTTGTACAGCAGGTCTGTACATCTTGGCTACTGTATGTACTTGTTAGCCTGATGAAACACTACTTGAGTCATAGACATAGACTAGTGTGTTTAACTAGAGATGTAGAAATTAGAATAGGCCTAGGGGTACGGCAGGGTCCAAACTTCTGGATATATGTACACTGATCTACCACACCATAATAATTCTGTTTTGCTTAGCCGAATCCGCGACGGTACTAAATTTAATAATATTTTGCTCACCCGTACTGTGTCAATCTAGATAGGCTAGGCCCGAGTGAGGCCTGGCCTACACAGTAGTACGGACGGATGATCGCCAGACGGTTGACTCACCTGGTATCTTTCATGATGAAAAGTCGATGCCTTGTTGTTGTCAATGTTGGTACATGTAGACATCCTTGGCCCACACGCTTAAACCACCATATCGTTAATTTGACGATTATAGTTGTCGTACATTTGAAAGAAAAAGAAGCTTATTCCTCCATTGTCTGCCATCCTCGCGTCACAAAAAACAAAACAAGAGACCTGTCAAATCAAATCAACGAAAAAACCCCAAACCATGTGTGTACAGCGCGAGTGGCGAGACGACGATCAGAGTAGTCTCATCAATCCAGGCGCTGTTTGTAAATTCATAGAAATGCTGTTTGTAAATCAATAGAAATACCGTCGCAACGGCTGTACTTTTACTAGTCTTATCAATCCAGCCGCTGTTTGTAAATTCATAGAAATGCTGTTTTTAATTCATAGAAACTTCGAGAAATTTCATATTTTCACGGAAAAACAATCATTTTTGTTATATATGGAAAAATAGCAAATAGTAAAAAAATCTATGCGGCTCCAAAAATTGGTGCGTGCGGGGATGTGAAACTAAGGATTAATTTTATTTGGCCTAATGCAAATTAAGACCAAATCGTTTTGCTAACTGAAAACCAATGAATTTGTTTAATTATCTTTAATTTTAATTTACAAATGTTAACTGGATGACTTTACATTACTCTTCAAGATATAAGTTTCAATGATTATAATAATCTATTTGTGGGCACATTTATGTTGAATAATTGAATCATAATTATCATTAAAATTATTAACTGACTAGAATCATCGGTATTAGAAATCATTTTTTTTGCCAGCCATGTGGTAGTTTATTTGTGCATGTTTAATTGGGTTCAATAATTGCACGCTGACCTGGCAAAATTTTTAGTCACTTGAATACTTTCTAGGGATGTAAAACAACTTTTGCATGCAACGAATATTCTGAATATATTTCCCTTTTTTCTAGCATCCATACGGATTGTTCAAAATATCTTAAAATTGTCCATTTCAACAATCATCATGAATAATAAAAAATTTAGATGTTTATGTTCTTTAAGCAGATTGTTTGAAACCTTTCAAAATTTATTAGAAGGGACTTAAAACTGACATTTTATACCCAAAATTTTAATAAATAAGCCATGAAAATGACACAAATTTGTTATAACAATGGTCAAATTTGATTGAACATTCTAGGTTAAATAATGCCTAATACTCTACCTGCATTCAGACAAAACTAATACAGGTACTTACCGCAATACACGCTAACAAAACCAAGGTTGTCTTGAGTTGCGGCAGTTGAGTTTTATGATATTGAAAATCAAATAGCCTACAATTGTTGTTTACTTATTATAAACTAAAATTAAATAATTAATATTATTTGTCCCTGACCAATAGATCATGTTGTTTTGGATACTTGGATACTTGGATACTGTTCATTATTGTCCACATCATGCACTTTAGTTTGTGTTTGCCCATTCTCAACAAACTATTTCACAAAAGCAGTCAAATGGAAATTCTTCTCAATTGAACATGTAGAGTATGTATTGTACATTTGACCAAAATGTCCTTATATGATGGCATATTATAATTGTTAAATAAAATTTGAGCATACCTTTAATTTCAACAGCACAGTCTGAGTTGCCGACTGATTGCTCTTTCTTCAAGCCATGTTGACTAGCGGTGTCTGTCAGTTGCCCGTTGCTGGCAACTGACCCGTATGTCATTAATGCGGGCAACTGCACTGGCCCGTTGCTGTTGCCATTTGTCTTTGTCTCCTTGCCCTCGTGCAAGGTAGTTGGAACTGGAGTATTAGCATTTGATGGTGGACAAGGCGTGTCACTTTGGACTCGAATCGGTGGGATGCTACGACTACAATGCCCTCCATCGTCGGACTGTGGGCCACTCATGATGGAGAAAAAAACTATGAAAAGATAGAAAAAAAAACAGTATTGGTAATATCAATCTCACAGACATATTAATATACCTGTAAAGGTTAAATTTCTTTGACTATATAGCTGTCTCTTATACACATCTATATTTTGCTCACCCGTACTGTGTCAATCTAGATAGGCTAGGCCAGATGTGTATAAGAGACAGGGGGATATCTATCTTGTTATGATATATGCGATTAGGATTGTTACGCCGATCTACGCTTACATTACAGACACTGTCTCTCTACTCCATTGTCATTGCCAACTTGTACACATGAAGTGCTTTAGTGCTTCATTAATTAGCAGAACAGAATTTAAAGAAATGTTAATTAAAATACCAGAAGAAACCTAACAAAGTATCCTCACTAAATGAAACAATGACGACTGATTGGAATGACATTATTAATAAGTAAAAATTTACTAATTTTAGTACAGTAGCAGCGCTTTTCACAATCCCAGAAAGGAAGGCGCTTTTGATATTTTAATTCAAATTCAAATTTTGTTTTTTCTAACAATAAAGTTTTTGGGGGCAAGTGTGTGTGACCAAAATCACGTAAAAAGGGTTATTTTTTCCTAAACAGGCACTTAACATATGTTTTTTAGGGTCTGAAAGAATGATAAAATTGATAAATATGGTATCACATTAAGAACATTAGTACAAGTTTAGAGTCCGCGTTGCCTGTGTCAGACAGCATCTGCCGACCCCGGCTGACGCAGTGCAGACTGGAATCAAACCAGTATTGCGTCAGCAAATGCGTGTTTCACAGGGTATCTCACACATAGTGTGATGAATGAACCACCTGACGTACTGCACGACCAGGTGCACAATTCAGCAGTTTTTCCCCTTCCTCCTACTCGAGTTGGTTCATTCCCAGTACTTACTTTGGGTAAGATTTTAATAAATATTATGTGAAAATGGGTAGTCTTTCTCTATGCGCAAAATGTGTTTAAGGCCCGTTTTTTGAAGCATGTTCACACACATGGTTGCCCAGATCTAGTTTGAGTGGCATCCCCCGGACTACATATAACCATATGGTACTTTGAGTTTAACATTTCATATTTTACTTGAAAAAGGAAGAGAGGGAGAAAGAGAGCAAAGGACCCTAGAGAATAAAGACAACACAAGGAAGAGAGGATGGGGAAAATGATAGGTAGCAGGAATTACGATTATAATCAAGATAAATATATAAAAACTGTGGAAAACAATAGAGATTTTGTGAATTAGAACTAATGTTTTATGTTATTAATAAGCTGTAATAAATACATACTGTAACTACATTCCTATTCAAGATGATATTTGTATTAAGTCATTATGTAAATGTTTATTTTAATCTAACACATGTTTGTTTACCTTATTTGTACCTAGTGTACCAATAGATCCAGTAGATTTGTAAAAGGGTTTGGTTTTGATACACTTTGTTTTATAAGAACCAGTAAAATGTTGCCCAAGCTCAGTGTTCCTATTTTTTTGCTGATTTCAGGCTCAAAATTTTCTTATTTTGTTAATATTTTTAGACATATTTTTTGAAACATAGAAATTTATTATTGTAAAGCAGTATATTATTGTACTGTTTTATAGCGGTTATTACATAGTCACACCTACTGCAAATAAGTTACAGTTAATATTTGTTGGTTATCTATTTGAAAAAAAATAAAAACCTCATTTAACATTTTACCTCAGCCTTAATTTGTTCTTATTTTGTTCTTACTTTTAAGGAAATTCAGCCTCAGTGTTCTTATACCACGCATTCTTATAAAAAAAATTTTAAAAAAGTGTTAATCATAATTCAATTTCCCTTTATTTTTTTCTCTATTTTTCAAAAAATAATTTTTTATATAATTTATAGAAATTTATAATAATTTACCACCCAAACTACTAAACTTGAGATAAGTAAAAAATAAAACTTGATGGACAATCAATGATAATAGCAAATGTGTCATCATTGAAGAAGGTTAAAGTTTAAATGAAGATAGATTGTAAAACTTTTTGAAAACCATAAATCAAATACTCTTAAAAGTAAATCATGAAAGGTTAAAGGTCAGAAGTCACACAGTACAGTATTAATAAGGACCAAACAAAATTTTATAAAAAAAAATACTATATGTACTATTATCACAGTTTCTGTGATCGAATATAATTGATCAAATGAAAAGAAGTATGAAATATCAATTGATCAATTAGGTATTTTCAGTGGTAATAATAAAAGATAAATTTATTACAGGCTTTCAAATGCAATTCAACCAGACCAGAAAAGTTTAAAAATTAACTTTGAAATTGGCATACTGTACTACAGTCAATGTATTAGAGTCTACACAAATAATTAGGAACACTAAATAATAGGCCTACAGTATGCATATTGATATTGTTAGGATAGTATTTTAATTTTCAATTAATTTTACGACAGCTTGGTGCTTATAGTACTGTACAGTATGGATAAAGTAAGAAACTCAAATTATATTACATTATTCAAATTCATTATATGGACAAAGATAATGTTTCTTAAAAGAAAATGGGTTCGAACTCCAATACCACCAGGATTAACAGAATACAAAACACTTAATGGAATATTGAAAATCATTATTTAATGGGGACAACTGTAAATGAAAATTGAGGGATCAGTGTAAAAAATGTTTATTATATTACAGCATACCATGTGATGAGGTTGAGGATACATCACAACAAACTTTGAAAATTACAAGCAGCAGGGATGAAGTTTGCACTGCATGGCGAGGGTGAACTAGAACCATAGTGTAAGTTTCGGTTTCTAGGCCCAATGTGCAGCTTTATCCTGAATACCTGTAGGCTTTTTGGATTACACTAGCCTAGCAGCAGAGGTAATCACCATGTGGCTTCAGATTACTACCACCAATTTGCCAAAATACAACATGAGATCAGTCCTATGTTTTGTGCTATACTGAGGATATGTGGCTTTGACCTACAGATGATGATTATGATTACTGAGAGATAACGATAATAAGGCGATGACGATGATCATGATAATGATGATGCAGAAATGATGGTAAACATTAATTCTACAATGATTATGACATTGATGATAATTAGAGTAATAATTATATAATTGATGATAATGACAATAATGATGAAGATGATGATGACGGTGGTGGTGATGATGATGATGACGATGATGGACAACTATTGATAATGACAATGATTTTTTAAAATTAATTACCCCACCAGTTCTTCAATTACTATCATTGTTTGTTCAACAAATCTTGAAATCAATTTTAATAATGATGTTAGGAAAGTAGCCTATTCTGACTACCTAACATGGAAGGTGTTAAAACTATAAGTTTCTGCTGACAGTAATGAAAACCTACTCAATGAAAAATGATTTTGAAGTTTTGAGATTTTTAAAAGTTTATTTATCATCTAAATCCAAAGCTTGTACTGTTTTTCTTAATACTACTGTATGAAAATAAGCTTGATGAAAATGAAAATTAAATAAAGCAATTAGGAACTATTCATTTTTTGCCATTTTGTGTAAATGTATCGCAAACGATTCTAGGCTACCTGGTACAGCTTCTTAACACGAATCACCACTCAACGAGTCACACAACAGGCTTTGATGTCACAGTCATGGGGTACAAGGAAAGTTGCCAAGCGTAATATAATCAACTCTCAGTCAGTATGCTCAGTGCATCAATGAAATGCATTGTTTCAAAACGATTGTATGAATTATAGTTGACTCAGATGCCAAGGTCTTGGAATCTACACCCCACTGGTAACCCAGTACAGTACACATTCTTTTTCTCCTCTCAATCGCATTACCTTAGCAACACACAATATCTGTACTTTTCTTCTAAGTTTACAAATTCTAAGAAAAAAAACATCTGTAATATTTCAAATTACACTGTAGTTAAATTGTAAACTTGGAATTCAGCATTATGAACCATTCTCATTATTTTAACTGATTTTCATGGTTTTTATAATCTTTTTCTATTGTCCTTATTATTTTTTCACATTTAATTTTTTTTTTAAATAGTAAATAATTAACAGTTATGACTGTTACAAATTTAACTATATATACCTATAATGTATTGTTACTATTATTATTGTTACTATTATTATTATTATTATTATTATTATTATTATTATTATTATGTTACTACCTTAAGGGGAACTTAAACTATGGTGATATTAGAGAACAATTAAAAATATGACGTTAAGTTGAAAATAACACAAAAGATATTCCCATTAAGTCCAAGGTAGCGCTGGTTATTATTAGTATCATTATCGTTATTATTATATTTCATTATTATTATTATTATTATTATTATTATAAAATATTGTTTGAAGGTTTACTTTATTATTATTATTATTATTATTATAATTACTGTATTATTGTTGTTTTAGGTCCAAGGCCAAGAACATGCCAAACAGCGATCTTAATCAAATTTATAAGTGACAATCCCTTCACCAGAAACATAAGCACAATTAATGCTCTAAATGAGGCTTAAGAATTACTTTAGGTCATCGTGACAGGTGAACCCAGGACCCTGGAATTGTAAGGAAGCATGTTAACCACCAAACCATTCAATTTCACTCCAATGTTTTGTATGGCCCTGCTTCTCAACCTTTTTTAGATGGCAACCCACTTTCAGAATGCACATTCTGTGGCGACCCAAGGCATATATTGTCATACCGAAATGATATTGTCATGTTACGTGTTAATTACTTTGGCCTACAAGCCATCAACCTCGGCTAACTCGAAAACAAAGTAGCGGCGAAAAACTGTTTCGATTTTCATTGATTTAACAAAGTACACTACAATTTTGATATTGTGTACTGAATGTTCAATTTTATAATATGGTGGGAAGGTGGCGGCTGGTTCCTCCCCATTGGATCTGCTAATGTGGAGAATATTTGTTACACTCATAATTATAAAATGTCTAGAACATTGACAAATTTTTTACTAATGTACAGTCGACTTGGGCGGCGCTGACTGGGCAAATACTGTATAACTTATAAAAAGCTTGTATGTTCAAACGAACTCAAAAAGCCAAGAAGCAATTAATTATTTTAAACATTGTTGTTTATTAACTGGTATGTCTTGTTAATGTGGGGTATATTTCTGCCTAATTTTAATTATCTTGAGAGATTGGCGACATTGCAACCTTGACAGTTGATTCAAGGTTTTGGGTAGACAATAATTTCTAGCTGTTGTGTCCTTTGTAGGACTGACTGCTATGGAGAAGCATTTTCCACTATGTTTCGAGATGTACTTTACCATTTAAGCTTTCTTTTTTTTTTTTCCAGAAGCAATCTCACAACCCTCAGAAATTTTTTGGCAACCCAAATTTTGGTCGCGACCCATAGGCTGAGAAGCAGGGCTGTACAAATGTTGAAATTTATCAACAAAATATGAAGGAAAATAATAAACATCTCAGTCCTATACAACATTTCTCAAACAGGTGCCAGACTACAGCCTGATCCCCTGTGCAAACATTTAAGCCTTGAAATCTGTCCAGATGCATTCAAAATGAACAGCCTAGATTTGCGCACAAATCTTGCAGAAAATTAAGCCTAGGCCAACGTATCAATATACTATACTAACAATGTATTATGCAGTAGTTTTGATCTAGCACATCTACATCACTAAATACTAGCAAATTTCGTGAAAAGTTTCTTCGATAACCTGCAAGCAAATATAATACTTTACAATTTGGAACAGGTGTACAATCCTGTAGTCTACTACTGTAGGCATCAATTCTTAAATAGTAATGGCAGAAAATTATAATATGAAATAAATTATTAATCATGTAAAGAGCAGGGGCACTACAGTACGCTATATAAATGTAAATTATTAATATTATGTTTATTTTAAACTTTCTCTTGAGGCGAGGAAAGGATACTATCAGAGACTATATTTAAAATTTGTTCAAAGAAATTCATGGTTTTAATAATTATTAAGATTTGTATTAATGAAAACCAAAGTAAATTATTTTATGAGAAATTAATTAAAATGAATTGAATCTGGATACATTTTAAAATGCCTATTAGATTATTAAGATAATTCCAAGGAAGTTGTTAGAACCTCTATTACAGTATTAGTTAGTTCACTTAAATAGTGATGTCTCCATAATACCCTTTAGTAATAGAAAGTAGGCTTTGTGAGCCTATTGGAAAATCATAAGAAACAAGGTAAATCTCTTTGAACATGTCAACTGCTTTACAAAGTCAATTAATTAGTAATTAGTGAACAGTTATGTATCAGGCCAAATAAAATTGCTAGTTGCACATCCCCACCCCCATCAAATTTTGGAGCCTCATGTAAAAATTTACTATTTGCTATATTTAAAAAAAAGCATTCAGTTTTCCATAGACAATAAAAATAATGACTATCTGAAAGAATGATGTCAAGCCTAAGAAGAAATTGGAACATATGGCAGGAATACATCACAAATATTCATTTTACTTCTTTTATAAAAAAAAAAATTATTTACCAGCCTGTTTACCATTAGTATATAGGATAGTAAATAGCAAATAGTAAATACCCTCACAAAAAAATAATTTCAAATCCCCAGACGTGAAATTAACAATTTATTTTATTTGGCAGTTTACATCAGATTAATTACAAACATATTGCTCTTCAGTTAAAAACAATAGCCAAAACTATGAGGACAAAATAAATAATTGCCATACTTCTTAAAATAATTCACAAATTATTATGAATCAATTTTAGCTTTTGACTGCATTTTACATTTCATTTTATACTTTAAATCGAACACATAACCAAAAAAGGGAAAAATTATTAGTATGGATGGATAAATAAAAAAAATAAAATTTTAAAGATTTTAATTTAATATTTGATAGGAATTTTTCTGAAATTTAATGCCAAACATCAATAAAAAAATAAACATTTAAGTTGTAATCTATTACTTTATTATTAATTATGTAGGCCTAGGCCTATATATATCTGAAATGTGTGTTTTTTTTTTTATTGATGTTAACATTTTATTAAATTAAATAAATTCAAGAGAATTCCAGTTAAGTTTAATTGAGGATTATTAATCTAGGCTAAACTTTGCCTTTAAATTGACCCTGAAAATCAGCCCTCGAGACTGCCTGTGTCACTGTGACAGAGGGTTATGCTAGGTAGGCTAGCAGCCAAGCTCTGTGTCGTTTCACAGGTGGTGTGATTATTTTCATCAACCAAAATCAAAAGAATGCATGACGGTGTGTATTTCTTGGGCTAGCCTACCTAGGCCTAGGCCTACATATAGGCTAGCCTAGGCCTAGATAGAGAGAGTGCATTATTATTATGCATATGATTATCTTTTTAGTGTACCTACGAAAAGTTTACGTAGGCCTACTAATTAACACATCACAATGTTCGGATGCTAGTGGATTGCTGTGCTAAGCCCGCATCAGGCGACATCCTTTTGCCTGGCATCATTCCATGTCCGATCCCAGCTAGCTAGCTTCGGGTAGCTAACAGCAACACAGTAACAAGGAAGCAAGAAGGCCAAGGATAGCTAGACTCTCATGAACTTCACAAAGTCTATAACTTGAGTTTAAAACATCAACAGCAATAATATATTCAACAGATTGTTTGTACTCACCTCATCGATTCAATGCGTTCATACATTTAATAAGTCATTATTCCGAACGTTGTAATTCCATACACGCCTCTAGTCAAAAAATAAAAATCTTAAAACAGCTTAAGAAGTTTCTCCATTAATTCCCATCATCAATTTTGCACTTCACGAAACTCGCATAAAACAAAATTTGCATTTGGTTACAAGATACATTTAGAGGGCTCACTACGAAACTCACCGTAGTTTTTCTCGTTTCAAAAATCAGGTTATGATAATTATCAAAATATTTTTTTTTAATTTACCATTTTATCATAAAATACATTCATAAAGAAAAAAAAAACGAAACAAAACAAAACTAAAACAAAAATTATAACAACAATTAAGTGCCCTTCTTTTAAAAACATAACGTAGTATACTTACAAATAATATATTTCATAGTTTCATTGTAAACAGATACCGTAATACATAAAATCATAGATGCAGAGGCAATATAATTTTAAATTTCATTTACAATAATGTTCTAAAAAAAAAACACGCTTGTACCAAGGAGTCATTCAAGTATTATGTAACGCAGTGGGGGGTATAGTGGAAAATGTTACAGTGTGTGACATAGGGGTGGGGGTGTTGCTTGAAGTGTTACATAACAAAATTAATTTTCATGGGAAGAGAAGAAATATTAAATGTTATATATTTAAAAACTTGTATGATATTACTTTATTGAAACATATTACACCAGTGTAATACAATGTAATGTAACACAGTTGTGTTGAATTTGTGAAATCAATAAACAATGAAGTTACATCTACCATATCAAAAAATAACAAAACATCCTACAAATTTGTAGTGTAGGACAAATTTGTAGTGGAGGACATTTATCCTGATACTTAATGTTGTTCAACTGATTTTATTAAAATTGTTGATGTTCGAAAGGGGTGGGGGTGGTTCTAGGGTTACATAACATTTAGAGGGGGTTTGGAATGGTGTTACAGAGTGTTACGGGGGGTTGGGGTGTCAACATTTGCCAAAAAATGTTACATAATACTTGAATGACCCCCAAGTACATATATATAACACAACTTTCCACTCGAGAAACAATGTTGATATAATTATATATCCTGTTAACAATTTTTATAATTGCTTTTGCTAGTGAAATTATAATATTTATAGTTATTTATTGTATTCAATATTCAAACTTGCTGTACCACAACGTTCATACTGCTTATATACCAGAGGCCAAAGTACAGAGGCCATGACTTGAAATATTTAAACATTTATTATTTATTTGAAGTTTTGATGAAGAACATATCAAAGTCGTGCTCATTCTTCTGTTTTTGAAAATGTTTTGAATCCTTTAAAGATTATCACTTTGTTCTGGTTCTTCTGGTGGGTAAAGCCGACCTCCTAAGGAATCCAAAGGTGTAGGAGGACTCGGTCCACCTGACATGTATTTTCCGCTTTTATTTCATATGGGTATTTCAAATTCCTCTCTTTAATAACGTATAGAGAGAAAAGTAGGCCTATTTGTGCCCTATACATTAAAATATCTTCGCGTATTTTCCAAATCCACATTTTAAAAATAGGCCTATTATTTATTATGTGAATTTATTAATTATTATTGCGGATGCTAGCAGCTCCCCCGGCGGCTCTAACAAGAAGACCAATATGGTCACAAAAAGGAAAACCTTGGTGTCAATGTGTTTACAGGTAAACTTAACGTAGGCTACTCATCTGAGGCAGAAGACCTAGTCGACAATTTCATGAAATTAGTCCCAAAGGTCCTCTACCGAGATTGTAAAATTCCAACCTGTAGGCATATGCCACACAAATTGGAGTCCTAACCAGTGTGACCACAGCTTGGGAGTTATCCCAAGATCTTGAGATTTTTAAAATAAAATCTTGGGATGTTGGGATTTTTTTTTTTTTTTTTTGTTAACTTTTCATTAAATCCTGAGATTTTTGGAATGATACGGAATTTTTAATTTTTGCTATGAAGTGAAGAAATAGGCTGCTAATGGCCTTATAACACCATAGCTGAAAGTTGCGTATGCATAAGGGCTGTTTAGTTGTTCAAAATAACAGACCCATTGGAAGCTTAATAGTTTTTTGTTTTTTTTTTCTGATAAGGCTATTGTTTAGCCATTTTCATCACATTTCAAATATTTTAGACAAATAAACATCAACAAATTGGTTTATTTGTCTAAAAATATTTGAAATTTACCGGTACAAAAGTAGATGAAACTATTAGATCATTTCAATTGCCCAGTCATTTTATGTAGGCCCTATGATTGTAATTCATACAAGACATTGCCACCATCCTCCTCCCCCACCCAACAGTTGAAAATCAAAACGAACGAATTATTGGTCTCGAACAGACACTGTTTCGTCATACAGTACAGATTAGTCAGTATAATAAAATTATTTGAAAAGGCTTTAAAATTGGACTTTTAAATGAAGTTGTATGTATATATACTAATATTCTGCGGATCTTGGGATTTTGAAAGCAATCTTGGGAATTTTTAAACTCAGTCTTGGGAATTTTGATTTTTCTCAGTGGTCACACTGGTCCTAACTTCCACATGACAGTTCAAGAGTGTGGAAATTACGACCTGTTATTGAAAAACTAAAGAACGCTTTTAGAGAAGCGGTTGATCCCGAAGAATTTCAGGCAGTAGATGTGAAGATCCCTTTCAAAGGAAAGTCTAATCTCAAACATCGTGGAGGATTATCATAAAGTCCAAGCCTCATAAATGGGGATATATAGCCTGGGTTCGTGCTGGCGTGACAGGATACTGTATGTGTATGCTTTTCAAAAAGAGGTCCAATTTGATTTGTTTGACATATTTTGTTTTATGTCACTGTTCGGAAGGGTTCCAGTGGGATTTGAAACATATCCCCACCACCAACGTAACGATGATGCAATATGAAATTAGTCAAACAAACCAAATTGGACCTTTTCTGAATTTGAACCTGATCTCTCCGACATACCATTGTTCTGACCGACTGAGTTATGGGGTCCAGTAGAATTGGAGCCATACACCATCAATGTAACGATGATGTAATATGAAATAAGAGGAAAATCAAATTGGATCTCTTTGGGATTTGAACCCGAGACCTCCGTCATAATGTTCGGAAGTTCTAACAGATGGGGTTCAGTGGGATTCGAAACATATCCCCATCATCGACGTACGATTATATAAGTTAAACAAATCAAATTTGACTCCCTCAGGATTTGAACCCGATCACTATGTGGGTTTTCTGACCGACTGAGTAGAATTGGAGCCATCTCCACAACGTAACGATGATATAATACGAAATAAGAGGAAAATCAAATTGGATCTCTTTGGAATTTGAATCCAGGACCGCTGTCATATTGTGGGGGTCGAGTGGGATTGCAGCCATAGGCTATATCCCATATATCGACGTTAACGATGATATAATACAAAATGGGAAATCAAATTTTACCCCTTCCGACCAGAGAAGAGTTAAAGCCGACATACCATGTTGATGATCTGACTGACTGGGTGCCTAGTAAAATTAGAGCCATTTATCGTCGTATAATAAATGATATAATTCAAAATAAGAGAAATAACAAAGTGGATCCCTTCTGGATTTGTCCACGGCATGCCCCTACCTCCCTAAATTGTTCAATAAAAAATGGAGATATAACGATAATTATATTCAAATTTTATGTCTGGAAGTGCAATTTCCGGCCATCTAGAATGTTTTTACCTCAGCCCCAACCATGGCGGGGCTGAGGTAGCATAGATCTTATATCTGTGAAAGTACCCTCCCTGGGCCCTTCTATTTCGAATTCCTGGATCGGCCACTAAATTACAACAAATATGATGTCATATTACAGTAGCTTGATGCCTATAAAATTCACCAAACTTCGTAAAATAGCCGTAGCTTCGGGGCCCTCTGGCCCCAGCCTAGATGCTCGCTTCGCTCGCATACTCGACCTTATGAAATGCCCCCCACCCCACTTTCAAAAACGTTCCGCCGCCGTTGAATACTACTCTTATCATGGTTCCTACCATGACTGCATCTGCATGAAGTGGTGGCGCTACTTCTTCTATTTTATATATATATATATATAAAATATTCACCCGTAAAAACTAAGTTCTTTTTTAAACCACTAACGTTAGATTTAAGAAAGAGGAACCAACGGATCTCATCACATCTTCTAGCATTAGTAGATTTGAAATTGATGCCTTTACTAAATCGCTGATAGTATGGCTCGGTAAAGTTGTAAGCCCCTTTTTTTACCTTTTTTTTTAAAAATCGTACTTTACATCGGTTTCGCCTACATAATTGCCGTTATTACATGTTAAAAATAGTAGTGTGTGGTGGTAACGGTAAAATTCGGCAAAATGGGTTCGGCAAACCGGGTTTCGACCAACTGGGATTTCATGATTTTGGTGAACTGGTTTCGGAAATCTGGGTTTCGGCAAAGTGTCCAAAACTCGGCAAACCGGGTTTCGGTAAATTGGATTTCGACCAAAAGGTCGGATACCATGGTGGGACCATGTATTGAATGGGTGCTTAGCCTGGAAAGTGATTCCCGTTAACCGAATTTACGGGTGACGAGTGACGTCACTCCCTATCACTTAAGAAGAAATAAAATACTGTCCTAACACTTTTTAACCGCTCATGACCAACACATTTATTCAAGCTTCAAAGATGCATTCAAATACGATAACTTATAAATGAGCCATCATAAATAGCTCAAAAAATCGACTGTGTTCCACTTTATACTGTTTGTAACTGCACATGCTAATATCAATTTGTAGAGTAGGCTATGCGTTAAGTTTCAAATTTATATATAAATACATAGCTCTAAATCTAAAAAAAGTCTCAGTAGTCTATTTCTAATTAAATTATTATTGCAAAAAAGAAATCGATTCCTTTGATCACGATCAATGTTATTTTAGTAAGTTACCGTACATTATGCATTGACCGCAATTAATCGTTTGGCAGTCAATAGACTGTGACGTTGACTAAATTTACCCCAACATTTATGCGTAGAAAAATATCTCACGAAAAGACCAACAATTTCAATGTAAACTTGTTTTATTGTGGTTAAAACAACGTAATAATGTTTTATCAACAGCATTGCAATTGATTCTATTCCGCATAGCTCTAAAAACACGCCTGTACACGCCACTCAAAGACGTAATTCTATAGGCGTAGAAAGAAGGGGACTGAGGAAATGCTGCCACCCCTCACAGTAAAAATTGGTTCGGGTTTTAACTGCCCGTTAAAATGGAAGAAGTAGGAAAAATGTCCTCCATATAAGTCCTCTTTTATGCATATTGGTACGTGAATCAAGGGTTGTTGCGTCATAATGTTACGTTTATTACTAGGCTACATTAGTACGATACAAATTGGACGAATTTACACTTAGTATTATTTCTAAAGTATTCTAAACAAACTCAAAGCATACCTTAATGCAAATACGTTTTTAAGTAGGCCTATTATAATTATTTTAAAAAATTCTACGTAGTTATGACATAGGCATATATATCTCCCACCGTTTACATCGTTTGCCTAAATGTTTATAAAGGTTTAGCTACTACATAAACTGACAAATCATGGAGGTTTGCGCCTATGAAGTCGAAATCAATTCACTCATAAGTCACATACCTTCTACAAAAATAGGTTTCTTTCTTCAGAATTTAGCAAACATTTACAAAACAACATATACTATCATATTTATAGAAAAATACCAACACCATATTATCAATATAGGCCTATTTATCTTCGATAAGTTAACTAATTTTGAAAACTAACGACTTTTGAATAGTAGTCCTCAATTTCGTTCACATGACTTTAACAAAACACTAGATTCTGGTATGGAGGGAACCCGCCACACACCGTCGGCCGACAAGTCGCCTACGAAGGTGGATTATTTTTAACGACGATTGCCCGGAAAGACAACGCCAGGTCCCAAAAACAAAATAAATATGATTATGATTATGTTTTATATACTTTATGCTTGACAAACGCACATTTAATAAGTTTAAAAAAAACCGTAGTAAAGCAATGGTATCAATAGGTCAACAGTAAATTCAACTTTAAAGTTCATGTCACTGAAAGACACCTAAGTTTATACTTTACCATTAAAGAAAATGGAAAAACAAATATTATCTGCAATGTTTAATGCTTTAGTAGTCAGCCACCACCCCCATTGCTGTGCCCTCACAATCAAATCCCATACGGTACATCGCACTCCATCCACTAAAAGCTGTATGTAAAGGAAATTATGCATCACCAAAACATATCGATTCTTGCGTAGAAACGGGTGGTGACGTTAATCAAAATGCCTACATTGTAGAATTCTATGTTGAAATGCTCCACGATTGATACGCTTGTACCGTATAAAACAGAAAGAAAGTCTTCTTCTCATTGTAGGTTTCATAGTTGCTGATAGTCCTGGAGATAAAATAGATTAAAAAAATATTAAAAGTGTCGTTTAGAACAGAATAAAATAATTTAAAAAAAATCAACATGTGCTCTCATCTGGATCAGGATCTAGGTTCCTGCATCACGTTACCTTTTCGCTAAGCCCAGTGATCTCTACTATAATAGCTGGATTGCTCATTGGCTGGTTTTAGTGAGGCCATCGGCGCCATGTTGGGCGGCCTAAATGACGTATCATTTTAAACAAGTTTCTTTTGGCATTTGTTTATATTATTGTTAAAAAACGATGATTCTTGCAAAACTTTTTAATAATAAATTTGAATTTAACGTAATGATTATTATCATCTCTCTACTTGATGTGACTTTTTATGCAGTTTAAGAAAGCGCAAGCAAAGTTATTTGGGTTGTTAGTGATCGACGTCACCATAACAACGCGACTTCGCTCGCGCTTTTGAAAACTGCATAAACAGTCGCGTCTAGTGGTTAGATGGTTTGAAAAAAAATTCCTATGTTAAATCATGGAGGTATTATTGAGAAGGAGATCACTCGGCAACAGATCCCTTTGACGCGACAAACCTACCTGGTTCTCACGAGAGCCCTAGTATCCGGATCGGGAGCTAACCGTTAGCGCTAACCGTTAGCACCTGCGTGAGAACGCCCGATCGGTTAGCGCTAACCGTTAGCGGTATCCGGATACGCTAACAGTTAGCAAGCGCTATCGGTTAATAAGTTGAGGGCGTTTCTATCATCAACCAATCACACCGCGTTTACAATTTCCAGTTTCTTATTGGCCAGTGATTCGATCATCATATTGTTGGTAACAGGATCGGGATTTTCTCGCATGGACGCACGGCAGCTAACGGTTAGCAGGATCCGGATCCTGCTAACCGTTAGCTGCCGTGTGAGAACATAGTATATGTGTTCCCCGCCTTTGGATCGCGCGCGGGCGTATTACCCTTTAATTCACATTTTTTCCGTTAGCAACAACTTGGCAACGACATGCATTTATATGCTTCCAGCAGAGCAGTTGTGCAATAAAGCGTTTGATTTTAACCCATTAAATATCTTTATAATGAACAATGTTCCCCTGATGGTTAAATTTAAGACAAATTGCAAGAATCGTTATTTTTAACTATAATTTAAACAAATGCCAAAAGAAACTTTTCTAAACTGGTACGTTACCATTACGTCACTTAGGCCCTCCAACATGGCGTCGTAGGCATTACTTTACGTCACTTAGGCCCTCCAACATGGCGTCGTAGGCATTACTTTTTGGATTGGCCGATGAGCAATTGTTGCTAAGGTCCCACTAGACGACATTGTTAAAACATACTGTACGCAAATTGAAACACGTACTTTTTTTAACCGCTCATGACCAATTTTGGCGAGTACTTGCCGTTTGACAATTAATGAATACAAACTACCACTTATTCTACACATTATTACTTACAGGTATATTTATTTTTACTATATTGTTTATTATGCCATTAATTAATAAGAATTGAATCATGAAACAGTATACAACATTTGTTGTTTTAATTACATTTATACTGATTTCATATCACACATCAATGTAATAAAATACTCGGGTATAGGATATAAAAACATGCAACATACATCGTCCTTTTAACTTTGACAGGACGAAAAGAGGTCAACAAAATCGATAGCTCCCACAGAAAAGAATATTTCTTGAAAGCGAAATTAAATAGGAAAATATGCAAACTGATCATGCATGCATGCACACAACAGGTTTACACATACTTACACATGTGTACCAAGCACACACGATGGGTTACGCTACTTCCACACGAGGAGTACGACACACGTTTCTTTTGAGCTTCTTTAAAAACCTAAATATTTTAACTTACAAAACTTACGTCCGTCCGGTAGATAGGATTTCGGGAGAAAGCCGACCAACTTGCGTCACGATCTTCTTCAAGTCGTCCGTAGTTGTTTGCAAATCGTCGACTGACGAAAAAACACCATAAAAACACATAAATTTGAATATATTTTTAAAAATATCTGTAGGCCTATATCAATATTAAAATTCGACAAATAATTGTAATAACTATTTTGTCTCCACCTGAGATCCCATAGAAGTAGAGGAACTTTCATGCTATGGAAAGATTTCGTAAGGGAACCGGTCGGGTTCACGTAATGTAGTATTTCGACATTTTTAAAAATAAAGAATATTGAATTAAAACAACACGATAGCGAATTTACAGTACAACAATTACAGCAGCTTATGAAGTTCTTACCGTCTGATGTACAGGAAAGCACCAACAACGACTACTGCAAAAATGAGCGCGAAACAAACTCCGACGATAACACCGGTTGAGCCACTTCCAGAAGTGTCGGCAGGATGGGCTTTCACTCCAGGAGTATTGTTCGAATTACTTTGTGCCTTTGTACCTTCTGGAAGCGCAGAAGTTTGTGTTACTTCGCTTGTATGACTTGCAGCTTCTGTGATGGACGCTTTTGGATTTGTCGTTTCCCTGTTTGTAGGAGCTGTATTGCTAGTGTCGAGTCCATTAGTCGTGACCTCATTGTTCACTGCCGTAGGAGTATCTCTGGTTGTAGTTTCAGATGAGATAGGTACAGTTGTTGGTATATTATCAGCAGTAGTATCATTATCAGCAGTAGTACCATTATCAGCAGTAGTACCATTATCAGCAGTAGTTACATTAGTCATGGTTGTATTTTCTAATGTTGTGTTTGCTTCCGCCGTCGGGGTTATAGTTACCGCACCATTCGTCGTTTGTGACGTTACAGGCCTATCAGTTGTTGGATTCAAAGTAGTGGGCTGGGTGGTTTGATCTTGTGCGGCAGTTGTACCAGCTTCAGTGTCGGTTATCATGGCTGTTAGGAAGTCAACCTCTGTTGTTGATGTTGTAATCAGATCTTGTAAGTCACTCGTGTCTGTTACAGGTGTTGTCTGGGAGGAAATTGAAGTTGAACTATCGGTAGTTGTGGGACGTGGTAATTTTGATGGTGCCGATGATTGTGCAGAAATTGATGAAATACCTTTAAACAGAAAAGAAATATCAACATAAATTATCACTGTTATTGAGAGTTTATAGACAAGCTACAATATAGGTTTTTGCTAATTCCCGCCTATAGGATATTGTTGCTATAAAACGACAGTGTAACCAGCGTACACAAACACGTGCGTTTGTGGCCCGGCACGTGTGCTTGCTAGACACACACGTATCCCTGCCCATGTTCTGATTGGGCCGTTGTTAAGGTGATTGACACTCTGTAGGTCCATTCACGATCGGAAGTAACTTACTGCAATTAGAGTTCCTATATAGAGAGAGTTGCGACATGAGCGGTTCATGTCACGTGACTACTGGCCGCCCTATATCTGCCATCTTGGTGCCCCACAAAGATCTTATAAACACAAGATAGCGTTCTCCGCGATTTACGCGTAACAAATAGAAGCGTCGGTCAAGGTTCAAAAGTTTCCAATTTAGCAAGAGGGTGCCATTCATGCGCTATTATACCAAAGAGAAAAAGTAATCAGTTTTGGAAGAGGGCGTCCTATCTGTTGCCATGGATCTGAGATGGTTCCTGTTCTGCTGTTCACAGGATTGATACCATAGAGATACACGTTAGACCCAGAACGCGCATCGCGTTGGAAACAAAATGGCTTCTAAATTCTCAATGTCGCAACTCTTTCTGTCAATGGTTCTGATTCATTATTAGAGTTCCTATAATTATAGAGAGTTGCGACATGAGCGGTTCAGGTCACGTGACTACTGGCCGCCCTCTATCTAACCGCCATCTTGGTGCCCCATTGATCAAGTCAATAATGGTGCGTAGCCAACAGAAATAAGATAAGCTTCGGGGCAAAATTATTGAACTCATGTTACTTAAAAATCCATAACTCCGTAACGAAGAATCGTATCACATTATTTTTTTCTGAAAATGTTCCTAAAAGACTATTCTACACCACTATATAAGTTTTAAGAAATGAAAAAAATGTTTCGACCTCTGCCACAAGATGGGTATACACTAGGCCTAGCTAGCTATGAGTAGCGTAGTACTTTTTCAGTTAGCGTATGATTTACGGATTTCTCTTATTATATACTACTAGTTATTTTGGAGATACCATCGGACTGGGACCCGGCTGAGGCTGAGGCATGCCACAAACACCCATTTACTATACGAATTTGTAAGGCCCTGTCGCCTACTATTTTATGAGCCGAGCAAACGCGATGTTGTACGCCTAGCTAAGGTGCTATGAAATTTTGGTCAAGCAAAATCTGCATGTAATATAATAATTAATAACAGCATATTGACATGAGAATCAATTTCTTTTGGAATTTTGTTATTAATTTTCAAACACATGTTGATTAACAGATATTTTTTTCAATTGTCTATTATTTTTGCAATCGCCACACACTGTAGCATAGGCTTTGTGGTCACTCATGCATGCAAGGCACCAAGATGGATACCCAGCAGCGTCTCATTCTAGGTTTACACATGGATGGATCATTGTTCCCCAAACATAAATTCTCATTCACCATACATACAGTAATTCATTTATTTATGAATAAAACAATACAGGTCTGACATCTGAAGATCAACATAATAAAGATAATGTAAATTAATAAATACAATCGTTATTGATATATAGCCTAGGGCTTAAGATTGTGATGGGGAGGATGACAACCTTGATGATCACGACTACGATGGTGTTGATGACGGGTATAGTAATATTAATGAATTTGATAATACCAAAAATCCTAGAAATACAAGATAGAGTTCTCCACACAAAAAAAGTGTTCCACCGAAATGCATGGTGGGAATACGAACAATGGGACGCCCCCTACAGCTGGATCTAAAAAAACTTGTGCCAAACTTTCGTTACCAAGTCGTCGCGTATTTTATTATCAATTCTCAACAAAGATACTAGATATAAAAACAAACTGGAATAGACACCCAGACAGTGACATCGGTGAATACATCCTTGGTGGCGGTAGAAATCGTTGCTATTATCCAAATAATACACAAAACAATTAAAGCATAATCATGAATCAGTAAAGAATAAAACAATAATACAGCGCAGAATCGCATGGCCGGACGCACTCTTAGTGAAAAAGTTTTCCTCCATTAGTGGAAAAGGAAGGGCGCCTTTTGCGTCTGGATATACTTAGCAACAGAAGGGCGCCCTGTACGTTGGGCACGAAGTATAGGAAAATTGCATGGTTAAAAAGAAGGGCGCCGCCTACCTTGGGCACGACTTCCGCCTCATTTTTACAATGCGAGAACTCTATCTTGTATTTCTAGTATCTTTGATAATACTAATAATTTAAAGAAACAAGATAACTTTGTATTGAAAGAATAGTAATGCTTAATAGCATAGATTCAGGCTAAGCCTGCTATAGCCATGATCCGATCTGGCTTTTACTGATCCATTTTTACTTCTCTCATTTTTAAATATTAAAGATATTTTAAGAATATATAATCTAGGCCTAGGGACGCCCAATATTAATACACACGAGCATAGGTAATTACGTCACCAACCATGAAATTCAACTTACCGCCAGCTAACACGAAGCCAACGATTACAAGTACTGGTAGTCTGCATTGCCAATCACGTGCTTCTCGTATGATCACCATCTTGGAATATTACACTCAATCTGTTTGACAAGAAACAGGCCTATTTTATTATACTTTTTAATTTTAATGTGAACCAGATTCGGGGTTCGAATGGAGATGACGTTCACAATTCCACTGGTTCGTATTCAAATGATGGGGTTCAGTATGAGCGTGACCCGCTGCCGCTTAGCAGACCTGTTAAAAATGAAAAAATAAAAAAATAAAAAGAACATTTCAGAACACGACTGTTTTAAATTATTAACAGGCATGCGGTACAGTACGTACTGATGCAAGATACGACCTCCTGTTGCAAATTTGACTCAAGTTGCATTTGCGAATCACAAAATTAACTTACAAACTCTTTTATACCAAAGAGCGTGACATCACTTCCGCCACTAAATTATTATCAATTACAGTATCCACAGAATTCGTAGTTAAGTTTACCTTTATATTATGTAGGCCTACTCATATTTACACATACACTTTTGTTATACAGTGGCACATTGATTGAAAAACAACAAATTACAATTAAAGGAATATACAAAATATAAAAGTACTACAATTATTTTCTACACGGATTGCAGCCATTTCCTATAGTTGGGAGTTGGCGGAAACAATTGATGATGTCGCTCCCAATTTAAACGTGTCACTCCCATCCCCCATTCCGACGATCGACGCCATGATGTCAAGTGATATTCCCTCACATCATTATTATAACAGTATTAATAATTATGATAGGCCTAATATTTATGGCAATAAACACCATTCATTCAATGTATGTCTACAGTATATAACTTAAGCTTATACCACCAGGTCTACATGCTATTACTTAACGGTTTATTTAATTTAACTTTATTTAGGTACGGTTTTTATGTTGTTTATAAGGGTGTTTGTGCATGCTTGCAAATGTATGTGTGTGTGTGTGTGTGTGCATGTATATTTGTATGTACGTGTATATGTGAGTTTATATGTGTGTGGGTGTGTGTATGTGTATGTATGTATGTATACGATATTGTATGTGTGTATGTATGTATATGTGTATGTATATGTGTGTGTATGTATATATATATATATGTAGATATGTATATATATATATATATATATATGTAGATGTATGTATGTATGTGTGTGTATGTGTATATGTGTGTGTATGTATGTATATATATGTATATGTATGTGTGTATATG